GAAAATGCAGTGAGGTATGTGGCAAATAATACTATGATAAACAATTATGTAAATCCCTTGATAAATAATTCCTTGATCCGGATATGGCATGATAGATATCAAAAACGAAACAGGCGCATTAGATGGTGCCAAGTTACCTTCCTCATCAACATTAAGCCAAAGAGGATCTTGATCATGATTTGAAATTTTTATATCATGAATGATTTGTTTATTGATTGGCTTATTTGGAAGATTTTTATTACGTTTAAGTATATCAGTGACTTTTTTTATTTCTTCTTTTCCTATTGAATCCCATCTTAAAAGCTGTGCACTTTTATGATCATTCAATTCACCATTAGAAAGCTTAACGCTAACCTCATAAGAGCTGTCACTAATTGTATAAATCTCAATACGCTGACTTAAGAGTTTTTGGACATCATTAGATTTATTTTCTAAGAAATCATCAATCATAGAAGCCAATAAATTCATATTAACTTTCGAGCCATTCGTTAATAAAATCATTGCTTTTCTCTCTTTCTCCTTTAAATCTTCCAAAATAGATTTAATAATTCCAACAAGAACCAAAGCATCTAGATGACTGTGCCTTGATCCAGAAGAGATGACATACGTCTTTGCGGTAAATGAATTATAAAAGTTCGAAATAGAATTAGCGATATATCGGAATGCTAAAGGAGAAATGGAAAGACTATGCCATAATGGAACCAATAATGGTTTTAGACTTGTAGCATATCGTAGTTGATGTTTTACTTTATCATCATTTGTCCAAATAATGGTATCGAAATTTTTACGTATTCTCTTTTTTATACTTTTAAAATACACATGAAGTTGTTCATCAGAGATATTTCCTCTTTTTGTGTTATCAAAATAAGGATCAAATTCTTTATTAGGTATATCAATCACGTCTTTAATAAAATCATATTTGGGCCAATGACACGGTCCTGTCTCTTTATTCATTTTATAGATAATATATAATTTTCTTCCTACTTCCGGCCAATTAATTTCATCCCAATTCCAATTAATATTACTATTATTGTCTTTTTCTGATTTTCGGACTGTTAATGCATTTGCCATATATTTTAAAAAGTTTTTGATGTCTTCTAAATTTAAAGGTGTTTGAATATATCCTTCCAATAAAGCTGCTTCCTCAAAAATCTCAAAATTAGAAAAGTTGCACATAATTTCAAAATCATTCTCAATAGTTACTATTGCTCTATCATCTAGGTTTGTAAAATCAAACGCCCTACCATAATATAGAATCATCATCAGAGCAAATTGTTGATTTACATGTTTAGGAGGGTCAACAAAAGTTCCAACTATTGAGTTAATTCTTGAGCCATAATTTGGTACTTGAAATACATCAATTGACGGTCGTTCATTTAATTGTATTTGCAGATGTTCTTTCAACTTTATTGTTATAACTTCTAGTATCCAAGAAGCAGCACTATCACTAGTGAGAAGCATTGTTTTTATATTTCCATCTTTTGAATACTGTAAGCATGTAAGAATACTTGATAGATCAACATGAGCTTTTGATTTGTTCTTTTGTACGTTTAAGAATAATTCATCACCGAATCTTTCTATTGGTAAACCTGGCAATGGTTCAACACCATCTTTTCTCCAAAAAATTCTAGCCAATGCATTAATTTCCACATAATTATTTATCAAGGAATTATTTATCAAGGGATTTACATAATTGTTTATCATAGTATTATTTGCCACATACCTCACTGCATTTTCATACCCTCTTTGCCAGAAGCCTGGATTTTGATCAATGTTTTTTTCACGTTTTAAAACTAAAGGTCTTCCTTTATCATGAAAAAAGCACCTCATATTTATATTTGGGTTTTCAAAAATCGGATCGCTATCATTAAAATCATTTATAATATCGAATCCATTATCTTTTAGGATATTAATAATTGGTTCATTATTGAATTCTTTGGTAAGAATCACGAGACAGTCAAGCTTTTGAGATTCATCGGTATTAGAGTGTTGAGAAAAGAATTCTTTGAGAAATCTTGTAACTCCATCAAGCCGGCCATGATGTGTGTTTGTGACGATAATGCCTTTAATATTCGATATTTTACGTTTTAGAATTGCAGCCCTCAAATATTGGTAACATAGTGAACGAGAAGACCCGCTATCAATTAGCCAGATATTATTTACATCGAGCTCTAAAACTAATATAGAACTATTTTTGTCATTTCCCGTATAAATTGAATGTAATATAGGTTCATTCTCGGGCATGATTTGGACAATATTTTTGCGAAACAAAATTGTGTTTGCTTATTTATAAACCGATACGCGGCACTAGATTTTAATGATTAAATATAGGTCATCTATACTTGATATGACCTAATACGTATTATTATTTAATGTCATAAAAAACGTAACCTATTAAATATTGAGTTGCATGTGAAGTACTGTCGCTCTTTTCGTTATTTCTATAAAAGGTATTATAAAAAGTTAACATGTTGTCACAATCAATTACACAAGATCAAATAAGATTACATAATTACACACTCTTTCTTTCTGAGCGGATAAAAGTAGGCTATGGCTGGTGCACAAAATTATTCGTGTCACTAACGAATGTTATAAAATAAAATTCGGCTTTAAATTAACAAACGACCATTTTGATCAAGTTGAATAATAAAACAATAGCAAAACAATAATAAAACAATATTTTAAACTTGTAATATTGTGATGTCATATAAAGTCAATAATGACTAGGGTTTTTAACCCGCTTTTTTGTAGTGTACTAAAAAGGTGAGTAGATTATTAATAATGAATCAATAAAAATGGAAATTCATGTAAATTAGAGATCAGCCATCTGCATTTCATCTCTATCTAAACAAGAGAATAGTTTTGAACTTATAGGTAGTGTATAAATGGGCTGGACCGGGCTGGACACGGGTTGTAGATACAAAATTATATTTGGTTATACTGTATAATTTTATGCAAAGTCACTTAGCTTATATCAAAGTGGTCACGTTATTGGATGCCCAGGCAGTATCTTGTTCTTTTTTATCCAAAATTTTAATATTAATTGATTTTTTACCACCACTGTTACAAGTTACAGAACTGCTTTTTGTATTATATATAGAAAATAAAAGTTCGGAACATATTTTCTTTGCAATTGCTACTTGAATCGCTCTAGTTAAAACGTAAATTTTTTTGACAATATAATGTGCTTAGATTTTAAACTCATAATTTTTGTTATAAAGACTATATATCCTAATTAAAATTTATTGAGACTTATATATTAAACTAGCTTTATTCGTTAGGATTTATTTTATCAAAAAAAAAACAAGTCTCAAAAATTTTTTAAATTATCATTAAATTTATAACATTATTGTGCTGCAATTTCACCAATATCATCGTCGTTACCATTAACTCGACTCGATTTTTTCAGTTCGGGTTAGAATCTTTAAAAATCCGCCTAGAAGTGGTCCGTGCGGACACTAGATATACTGTATGTCGATTTGAAGTATCATTGTCAATCATAGTGAGATCTAATGATGCCTGACGAATGACGAAACCTTTCGTCACTGACGAATGACGAAACGGTTTCTTCAGGCAACTTCGAATTGACGAATGACGATGACGAAACTCGTGACGAATGACAAATCCATGAATTACGAAACTCATGACGCAGCAAAATTTTATAACGTAAAAAAAATTAAAAAGATTATCCTTATGTACAGTAACTCATTATTTTAATGTAACGCATAAATTATTCAATAAAGAACGAGGCCACCTCACTCTATAAAAAAAAAAAAAAAAAAAAGATTATCCTTTAGGAATCATTAAAAACTAGCTAATGGAAAAAAAATTAGTCATGTGAACTTAATTTTTGTTCATTATCATATCTACCCGGTTTATATTGTTTTAGGCACCTTTATCCGACATTTCCCGATTATTTACATTACTCACCCGGATGTATCCGATAAGTCTGACGAAGAAGAAATTTCGTGAAGAAATAACAGTAATTTTGAAAATTTTAAGATTCAGAAATACCCAGTGGTCGTTATAAAGGTTCTTGTTGAAAGATTGACACCTCATTTTTTTTATTTTATTGTCTAATTAATTTCGTTAAGAGTTTCATCAATCGTCAGTAGTTATGTCATATCGTCAGTTTCGTCAAGCATCATTAGTGAGATCCGACAAATAGTTACATGAAAAAATAACAAAAAATTAGTATATTTATGTTGCATGAAAA